TGGGCTACAAGGTTTAAATGTGTGTAGAGATAAAATTTAGTATCTGAACCCCACTTTAGATAAGTTGGTGAAGAGTTATGGCCAAAAGTACGTTGTACACCTGTAGAACAATTGTCTCGAAAGCCTAAAAAATGATAATATTAAGTTATACATCGAAATTAGAGGGTGGCTACTTTGTGCCAAATTTTTTAGGCAACTCTCCATAACTTTCTTCTAAACGAGCCAATCTTTATGATTTTAATGTCATTTTGTAGATCTCAACAAGTGCAACAAAATGACACTAAATTCATAAAGATTGACTCATTTAGAAGAAAGTTATGGCAAATTGCGCAAAGCAGTCATCCCCACAAAATTGCCTTCAGGTCTACGAAACACGGATCAATGGCTACCCGCCGAACGGGCTCCCTATTTGAAGCATTACACGAATGAGTTCCTCAAAAAGCAATGGGCCGACAATTGTGATATGGTTGAAGAGTGAGGGAATTAGAAATTAGAATATCAGAACTAGACAAAACAACAATAGCTCAGTCTCTCAGAAAGCAGAATAAAGAGTGTTTGTAGCGAATAAATCCTGACTACCGCTTGAAGTAAGCGGTAGTCAGGATCTATGGACAAGTTCAAATGTGCTGTTGAAGTAACGGCACATTTGAACTTGTCCATAGATTTTTTTTGATATACTACAAACATAATCTTTATTAAAAGTGAATTCTTTCGTCTTTCGAAAGCCTATAGCTTTAATTTAAAGTTGTTCAGGGCGTATCTGATGTTGGGCGGACGATTCCCTTGTCATGACGCGTTGCCGAAAATCGCGTGCCCAGTTTTGATGTTGAACGGAGGACAAGACAAGTCAGTAATATCATCAATAAACTTAAAGTATTCAATCTATCGCCTATTTTCAGATTTTGCGAGGACCCCAAGTCAATCTTTCCAAAGATCAAGAACGTCAAGTATATTTTGGAAGATTTTGTCCATGAAAACCCGAATTTCAGACTCGAAACTCACCTCCAAGGTGGACACGATTTCCCGAAAAAATTCCCGAAATGGACGGCCGAGAAAATCACTGCTTTCGTTAAAGAAACCGCGAGGAAACAAGCATAATTTTGAGAAGAATTGATCTTTATTTATACGTGCACAAAGAATAAAACAACTCTAAAAGAACACTAAACAACAACAAAAAATTCTAAATTCATCAACAGTAGAGTGAATTTGGGTGGTTGCAGCCAGAGATGTTCCAGCCGGACCTTAGGCCTGTAAGCCTAGTGGACAAGGCCTGTAAGCCTAGTGGACAAGGCCTGTAAGCCTAGTGGACAAGGCCTGTAAGCCTCATGGACAAGGCCTATAAGCCTAGTGGACAAGGCCTATAAGCCTAGTGGACAAGGCCTGTAAGCCTAGTCGACAAGGCCAGAACCTAGTCTTAAGCTTGCTTGACCTGGTCTGGCAAAACTTTACCAGGCCTGCAGTAAAGCCAAGAAAGCCAGCTTTTTGTTTGTACATGCCTGAGATTTCCTTTCTTGTTTGTCATAGTACTTTCAATGCAATTTCTAAGAACGAGAAGCTTGCGACACAAACAATTTCCAGCTCGCTTAAAGTCGAGTGCACTAAAGAACATGGGTTTATCAAAGCACAAAGTACGACTGAATGCTAGCAACTTCTCAGTTCATTGTGTCAAAACAGTGATGTTTCATGTTTCTGAAAAAGAGGAGACAATGAACGGTCACCCCATCACAAACACTGATAACAATGTGAAAGAGAGAGCGGGAAAGATGAAGAGAAATCAGGGATTCAGATGAGATTCACATGTCTGAAAAGTATAGACACAACCAGGAGAGAGGTTTGGAAAAGGAAACGGGTGATCCCACGATCGGAAATTTTTCTCCCGGACATCAATCTAACACCACACATTTTCGAAGTACTCAAGGAAATTCTATTTATTTTTTTCTGAAAGCAATGACCCATTCCGAGTACAGCGAGCACTTTGCCGAAATCGATGGGCAAAAAATTGGGTAAAAATTGTTGAATTTAAGCTTATTTTAAGCTTTATTGAGTTAAAATGAAAATTTCTATCCTTCAAAACCCTTTTTAGCTACTCAAAATACGGGCATGGAGCCACAAATATGTTAACGATTTGCGGTGGAGTAGGTGAGGAAGAAAAAATAGCTTATTGAGATACGTTTTCTAAATGGTGGATAATTCTGAAAGTTACCGTAATCTTTTTCTACTTAATTTTGATCCTATTCAACTCACAGCTTGATTCCCCATCAAATGAGAGCAAAGCAAATGAGAGCATTGAGTAGAACAGACAAAATCAAAAGGAAAGATTACTATATTTTTTCCAAATTATTCATCTTTTAGAAAAAAGAATTGCTCACGATAAACTACCGTAAATACTGTAATAGTACCCCAACCCCCTCGTACAGTCGCGTAGTCGCAAAAGTTTTTTAGTATTTCATTTTTTTCAAAGTGCCCGTACTTTCAAAAAATGCGTCTTTGTATCAAAAAATAGCTGAAATTCAGGGCTATTTTTTGATACCTAAGCGCGCATTGTAGCTTAAACCAGTGTCGAGAAAAACTCGTTCAAAGCTAGACTACGCAACACTCCGCACCGTCATTATGGGGGTGGGGTACTATTACAGTATTTACGGTATGAGCTCTTGAGATACTGTAATTTGAATAGCAAATGCTCTGTTTCACCGCAGTATCCAGGAGTCGATTTTATTAGCTTTTTATGAGCCTAAAAATATCCAGTTTAGTCTACAATATAACTGCTTACAGGTTGTTACGCGAAAGATTGGCCATTGTCGACATTAGAGCACTTTGATCCCGAGAAATACACGATTATCAGCATCGATCCACCTGGGTAAACGATTGAAATGAAACTTTAAGTTAAAGCTAAAAGAATTTTTTTTAGTTACGGCAAATCCCGTCCACCAGAGCGCGTGCAAAACGTTTTCCGCTGTCAAAAGGACGCGGTTATTTGCATGAAATTGATGGAGGTTTCAATTTTTCAGTGCAACTTAAAGCCTTTTTTACACTGAACTGTGTAAAAAAGTTTCAAATGCAATTTCAAAATACTTGCTTTCATTCAGCAATTGGAACTCCTTCCATTCACAGCGGTCGGTTGGAGTGAAGGCTCGAGAACGGCACTTCATCTTGCAGCAAATGGAATTCAAAAGGTGCTCTTTATAAAGAGATCAAGTTAAAAGTTAATTCTTTCTAAAACAAAGATTCTTACCAAAAAAACCTTTTTCTAATCTCTAAATGTTTAGATAAACCGATGCGTAGCGATGGCTGCAACAACAAGAATCGAAAAGCGGGCGGTTGAAGTGACCAAGGGTGAGTTGAGGCCTGAAATTTATCATAACTATTGATGATGTAGCTAAAACCGTATTAAATGATTGTACAGCTATGCAGTCAATTAAAATCTGAATTCCAGGAATGAAAAATACTGACCTGTGGCTACCGGCAGATCGAGAGCCTTACCTGAAGCACTGCTCAAATGAGTTTTTCAAGAAACAATGGGCCGATATCATGGATACAGCCGAAGAGTGAGTTAACACAAAGAACCTAACCTAAAAGACCATAATCGATCAATAACCCAATACAGATGCTATAACATGCTTGGTGGTCGATTCCCGTGTGATGCTCTCTTGCCGAGAATCACTTGTCCAGTGTTGCTTTTGAATGGAGGACAAGATTGGTGGAGATCTTTTCAAAGACCAATTCTTTACATGTCCATTTCAGGTTTCACGGAGACCAAAAGGAAATAATGTCTCGTATAAAGGACGTCAAGTGAGTTTGAATGCCGACTTTCATAAGTTTCAATTCTCCTTTCAGAATGGAGACACAATTACACGGAGGACACGATTTTCACCTCAAATACCCGAAATGGGTTGTTGATAAAATTGAGCGCTTTATTACCGAAACCAGTTGATTAATAGAATAAAGAAATTTCACGTTCACAGCAAACTCTATGAAACAGACCAATACTATCTGCACCATATGCATAAACAAATCCATCTTCACGCTTTCAAAAACTAAACTTTATTTGCACAGCACCAAAAAAAATAAAAATGCAACCCGTTTATTAAACCACATCATATTAACTAACATAATTTTACAATTGGGAATAAAAGGGGCAACTAAGAACATGAATCTTGTGCTAAAATGAATTAGGGGCCACTACAGTGCTTTACAATAATTACAATTGAATAAGGAGCGCAATAATAAAGCCTTCAATAATGACTCCTTTTCCGTCGCCAAAGATCCCAATTCGACTCAAAGAGTGGCTGGCTAAAGAAGACAACGATTAATTTAACAAAATAGAAGCTTGAGCTCTCAACTAAAGTAATCAAATGATCAACCAACCAAGGTTCCAAAGTTTTTCTCCAGATGCTCGGTCCAATGATTCATTTGTGGGTTTCGCTTTGTAGGCAAACCTAAATCTATCCGATTGAAGAATGAAAGTGAATATTTACATTCGCATCGTGGACCACAAAATGGATGAGCAAAGCCACAATCGCGTGCCTAAACAATGAATTAAGAACATAAATTGTACAAGAGCTTTTCACTTAGAATCAACCCACCTGGTGAGCACAAGTTGGATAGAAGCGGCAACTCTCGCGAGGATGCCAGAGTGTACATCCTGTTTCTTGCCGATGACGGCGATTTTCCCAGAAAACACATTGAGGCGCCGGCTTTCGGAATCGTTCTTGCTGTTTCCGCTGCCCATTTTGTTTGTTGCCTAAAAATTAACTGAACAAAAACAAAAAAAAATATATTTTACCGAAGGCGAAGTAATAATCCGAATTGTTCTGATTCTCTCGATCACATCCCATATCTTTGCCAGTGACGCTTTCTTGAATGCCAGTCTCGCAATAGGTGCCTAAAAAAGTCCAAATTTCGGACTAAAAAATAGACTTCGCTTAACGTGAGACCGAGACCGAGACTTATCATTTTTTCCAAGGTATCGGCAACATCAAAGCAAAATTTTGTTTTAGCTTCTCGACCGAGATATTATGCTATTTTTCGGTGAATTTTCAATAAAAAGCAACATTTTCCTTTTGATCTCCCTGACACAGCTAGTTACAGCCCCATCGCCAACATCACCTAGAGCTAGTGATTTCCCCAACGCGAGCGAACTCCTCATTGTGCTGCTCGCGCCCGCCTTTCCCCAGTCCAAAACAGTGTTTAAGAACTCAAAAATCACAAGTCTCGGTCTCCTTAACCTCATTAAATCTCGTTAAGGTCTCGTCAGGCCAAGTCTACCATAAAGCACCTACCATTAGGAGTAACATTGGAGTTTAACTCTTGGCATTGTTGCGGGTAATTGTGTTGCAGAGAAGGAGGTTGAGTGCGACGAATGAAATTCTCCTCTGCCTAAAAACATTTTTGATGTAGACTAATCGTCAATGCTTCAAAATGCAGTCATAAGTCATGCCTGTTTCCAAGGATTTCCTCCAAATGAATTCATCCATCTATTGGCGCCTTCTTGTTTGTTTTCCGATTTGCAAAAGCCTCCTTTGCTTAAAGCAACTTGATTCATCTAAAAAGAAATTAACAAGTGATATTTAATAACTGGATACCCCGGGGCAAATCTTTTCATCGGCGTTGAATCCTCCAAAGCTTTCACTCTTCGGCAGTTTGCAGTTTGATTGTTGCAGTTGTTGTTGGACATGGTCTCGTTCTCTCAATCGTGTAGCCCCAATGGCAAAAGGATCCTGGTTGGAGGAAGAGTTGCAACAGGAAGATTGAAGGGATTCATTTTGGACATCATTGTTGGCATGGAATATGTTCGAGCATGTAGATGATCCTTCTCAAGCCCAACCATAGTCTTCGAAGAGCACACCATCGTTGCCGATTGTTGTGGTTCGGGTGGTGGAGAATCATCAAGATGAGTCAAGCCTTGTACCAAATCGCTCGGATTCATCAATGATTGCTTAGCCTTTTGTGCATCTTAATGAAATGGTAGCAAACGGTTTACAAATTGCAGTACCGTGCGCAGGCTCACGAGTTGAAGATTTCTGCATGCACTGAGGTGCGGGCTCTGGTCCGTAAGTTGGAGTAAACTAAATCAAAAATAGTTTTAAAGCACTATTTAAATAACACCTGAATACTCTTATTGTGAGTTATTCCGTTTGAATAATGAGAAAGACTCGTCATCAGCTGCGGATCTCCGGATAAGTGTTGAGCATTGTCATCAAAGATCACCAGTTGAACAACATCTTTTGAAGGGGTCAAACCAACGACGCATTTGCTAAAAATGGTTTTTCTCATTAGTGAAGGAGTGTTAAAAATTACAAGGAATTTGGTGGAAACGGAAGAATATCAGCTGGACAAAGGCCCGTTGTAGCACAAACGCGTTCGATCAACGATTCCAACCTAAAAAGAATCGTAACCTCAGACAAAACAAAATTATTGCTTAATTTTGTTCTTCCTCCCAATTAACGAAGCATCCACCTTTTCTGCATATAATCCTGATTCTCCGCCTCAATCACAATGACCGCTTCACCGGAACGCGAGTTAAAGTAGACACATTGCTGGTCCTTTGACAACAAGCTATTAAACTTATCCTGAGGAATGGATGGAATCTAAAGGGGAGAACCAACAATAAGCCTGTTAATTAAATTCTAACCTGCAAAAGAAAGCAGCGAGCCTCGTACGGATTTGGTGCCTAAATAGAAATATGTAAGTAGACTAAAATGAGCTCACAACAATGGAAAAATCGACAATTTCATCCATTTGGAGGCACTCCTTGGCCGAATCCAAGAACGTGTAGTCCAAAGTGTTTGGACAAATAATCAAGGTTCTCCATCCAATTGTTGACAACGAACTCAGTGTAGATGTGTAGTTTCCAGAATCTAAACAATCAGAATCATGTTCCATTTGCTTATCAAAATAAGTTCGAAGATGGTAAAAGAATCGTACCTGAGATCAGCACAACGAGGCCAGGCTTTTCGAACAGTGAGGTGTGTCGCTTCATCTCCGTGCAAATTCGATCGACGATCTTCGACGGCGAAGCATGGTAAATTGTAAAGTTCTAAAACAAAGTAGTCTTAGAATGAATATCTAGAACCTACCGGATATTCTTGCTCCACAACGTTGATCACTGAGGTGTCCGTGCATCGAACGTCACACATTAAGGACACTTGCATGCTTCTTGATATCTTTTCTTCCATCTAAAGCAAAAAGTGAACAAACAGCTGGCCGAGTTACGACCAAACCTTTGCAATAAAGACAGTCATTTGTTCCCCCGAAATTGGTGCCGATGTGTAGTTCCAGTAAGCAAGCACGGGAAGTTCATCTTTCAACGAATTCAACTAAACAGAAAAATAAGTATTACAAGACAAGACAACTTGATAAATGTCAAGCAAGTAAAAAAAAATATGAAATGAACGTACCTGTGAAATATGACGTCCGGACGTCATCGCAGCAAAATTAAGAGTGATGTGACTCCGAAAAGTTTGTAGGGATTTTGACGTGATTTGTATGCAAATTTGAAAAATGCTAATAAAGACAATGTCGCCAAATAGCTTTTTGTTTGAATATCTTTAATTTTTATGCTCTTATAAAAGGATATCAACCAGCTTTCCAAGAGAGTCGCCATATTTTGCGCAGTTCCGTGTTTTTCTTTCTCAGACTTCTTTTTATTTTAATGCACTTGGATGCTCTTGCATTGATTTAGAGATTCTACAACCAATTCTGACCCTTTTCAGCTTTGGAAATCATCATTGCGCACTTGTCATCGTTGTATCTGATGCGGAAGCTTGCTCCCTACTTCTCTACAACTTCACTTTTTGGTAAGTTTTGTTCGTTTTCATTGATGAAAAGTTTAACGGTGCTATAGTTTGCTATAGTTTGGAAGGGAGCAGTTTGCAAACACCGGTTTTTTTCAAACTCTCCACTTTTTTAAAGACTTTTTCCGGGGTAATCACTTGCGCTGAATCTATTGGAAACATTTTAAAACCATTATGAACAACTTTTATGGTAGTTTGAGAAGCATTTCCGAGCCTTCGGGTGGGGCTCTATTTCCACTGGGTTTAAAGGGATCGAATTAAGGGGCTTAAAACCTCAGTAAATGCTTGAAATAGCTAGAAAACAGTTGCTAAAGCTTAAATAGTTACCAAATTAAGAATCTACCCCATTAAAAGCCCTAGGAGTGCAAAAATTAGTTCTCTAGCTCAATAGATATGAATGGCCTCTCGAACTACTATAGCACCAATTCAAAATTCAAAATTAATACGTATTTTAGGTGTTTCGGCAATCGATGCTTACACGGCCATCTACACTCCACTGGTGATTCTGCTAGCGTTCATTTCGTTGCTCGCAATTCAATTTTTTGGCACCCCAATAAGCTGTGCGACATATAATTCAACGCAAGGTTACATGTTTTATCATGAAGTAACTTGTTAGACTTTTAGATCTTGTCGACAAGCACAATTTGGTAATCGAGTTTTGTAGTCGTGATGCTGCCCAATTCGTTGATACCGAGAGAAACTTACCAACAGTTGGCGATTATCAGGTTTACTATTTATTTATTTAAATAATTTTTATTGATTTAGTGGATTCCTTTAATTTTGCTACTGTTCTTCGTGTGCTTTTTGTTGCCACATTTTGTTTGGTTGATGAGCCGAACTTTAAGTTAGTTTTTATGTTCTATTACGTGTCACACGGTAGATTTTAGTTTTTCCATTTTCGTCTGCAATGCATATATTGATGGCTGCCCGAGGGTTGCCACGAGAAAAAACTAATCACTTGATGGTAGAAAATTTACAACAACTGCTACGAATGAGAAACGATTTTCGCATAAAAGACAAGGTATTCTTAAAATGAAAATCCATTTTATATTTGTTGAAGGGAACCAAATTTTTTTTTAGATGACAGCTCCCATCTCAAGCCTCTATATCGTTTTCAAGCTCTTAGTTTTGGTATGTATGACTGTTGCACATCTGTTTGTGATTGGCGCCCTTGCAATGGATCCCTCACAGGTCAGTGTTTACTTATGTAAGGTTATAACCAGAAATCATTTAGCTCATGAATTCGGATCGACACACTACTGGATTAGGAATTTTTGCCAAGCTTGCGACGTGTTATTTTCCTTATGAGGTACTACAATTCGAGCTTTATGACATTTTCTTTAGAAGAGCGGAACACGTTACTCCTGCGTCTTAAAGTTCAACACCATTTGCGAAAAAGTGTTCATCATCTTATTCTTTTGGCTCACAACAGTTTTTTAAATAGAAAGTACAAAAATATTTCATGCCTAGATGCAAATATTGGGCATCCTCAGTATAATATATTGGATTTTCATGCTTTCAAATTCACATCGACGGGAAGCAGATATGGGTGAATGGTTCAAAGTAAGTACAAAGTATTTTGATTTGCGTATACACATATTTGCAGTTGGGAGAACCATCAGTTTGTCAATTCTCTAATCAAAAGCGGTATGACCGCTTCATTAAAGTAAGTTATTACCAATTCTTTTAACTCTTTTAACTTTTAACTTTTAACTTTTAACGAAGATTAACTCTTTTCTTTTTAGCTTTTGGGTAGTGATACTTGGTTATTGCTCACGCTTGCAAGCCAACGCGGCGGAGTATTTGTGGCAGCTCAAGCGATTTCTGTACTTTGGAAAAGGTTTTGATGATGTATTTATTTTTTCAAAAAAGTTTAGTTTTGTCAAAATGGAGAATGAGTCGCGATACGGTTTTGGAGCTCAAGAGAGATCTACTACAAGTCTTTGGTCGCGACAAGGTAAGCTTTGTTATCTAAATTTTTTTTCGAGTGTAATTATTTTTAGAAGAGCTTCCAATTGTAACCGGTGTGCTTGCTGATGCAATTAGGGATAGTGATAGCGTACAATCAACAATAAGCCACTCAACGATCAGCCAGTATGACACCGCGAGTCTTCCGTAAACATTGGTTTTCGCAGATTATCAACAAAACAAATCCGATTTGTCTTTGTGTCTTTTTGGTTTTGAATATATTGGCTTTTTCTAATGATTATTGTTTTTGTTTCGTTATGTTGTTATATAGTTTGTTTGTCAATTTGCACATTCTAGTTAGTTTGGACCTGTTTAATAAATCGATTCACGGTCGGATCTTGTGCGATTGAAACGTTGTTTAGCTCGTATTAGATCTATTTATTGGCAGAGATATTAGTTGCAATGAATTTTTAATTTTATGCTGATGATTTGTAGGTTTTGCTCCAAGATGCCGGCCCCATCGAAGCCTCTGATACTTCTAATTCTACTCACTCTCATGTTCTCCTATAGCCAGGTTCATTTATTTTACCTATGTTACCTATATAACGTAATGTTTTTTGACAATCCATATCCACGTCAATCTTGCAGACTCGGAAAATGCAACAAACCTGACAACAGGCAAGCTCAGCTTTTAAAACGATATTTTTTATTGTTACAGAAATCCAGCAGGAGATCCTTAAACAAGTCAATGGAGAATTGAAAATCGCATGGACAAACGAATCGATGGAATTGCCGTTAGCGCATGTATATCATTGTCATCTCATGAGACGAGTAAGCTACTGCTGGCTACTAAATATTACTACTAGTTGGTAAGCTACTAGATGTGCAAAAATTTCCTATTTTAGGCCCAAGTACGACTACCCGATTTACTGATACATATACCGTATGGAATGATTGGCGAGGTAGAGGGTTTTGTTTCAGTTGTAAATGTAATCAATTTTAGAACGAGTTCTGCAACCCTGTGATTTACGGAGACATGCAGCTCACAGCACAAGTATTTTGGAGCTCATAAAATAAGATTCACAAGGTTCATTTTAGATCAACTATGCCCAAAATTCGACAGAAAATTTATACGCAGTTGAGGTGAATTCACGATGTGGACGGGCTTATTATGAGGCGGTTTGTAATTTTTTTATAACGATCATGTTTGCTTTTTTTCTTTAGCAGAAGCTCGATGCCATTGCCGACCTCCTTTATCGAATGATTTTATTGGTCGAGAATTGTCGAGAAACGGCGTTAGTTTATGAATAGTTTTTAAACCTAATTTTTACAGCTATCAGCTTACACCTTTTGAGACAATTGGTACTGAAAAAATACAGATTGGACAAAGAAAAATCCTCATCAAAGCCGATCGGAAACTCTCTTCATTCGTGAGTGCCTAGCTTGTGCTAAAGTTGTAACTCCAAATTTTAGCCTCCAAATGAGTGGCTGGTATACGTTCTTCAGCTTTTCATTTCTGCTTTCAATATTGTTCAAGTTGCGGTACTCAATATGGACCTTGTAAGTATATTTTCACATAGCTTATAAACCAATTATTGTAGCTAGACGAATGGAGCAACGCAGGGTTTAGACGGATTAATTTGCAAAACATGGTGAGCTTTTAGCAAAAACTAAAATTTTTTATTGGCCATCCACATTTTAAAATGAATCTTGTTGTTTTGTTTAGGAGGAATCACTTAGTCAAGCATCGTCATCGAGCAGCGATTTGGAGCAGGAATCGATAAACAAAAAGAAAGCCGAAAAGCCGTCCATCCAACGATAAAAAATTGGTAAATCAAAAATTTACGAAGACTTGTTGTGATTATCGATAACTTTTCTGAAACATAGACTGTTATTCCATTTACCTTTTAATAAATATTAAAATATTTATTTTGCAAAATAAATGTGAGAGAGATTTAGTAGTACTTCCCGTTTGTTTTAGAAATGCAACCAGGATAAGAAACAGTTCAAAATATTAACGCATTTTTTTGAAATAATCGAGATCCTTTAAGTCGAGGAAATATGTTTTCTGAATGCCTTTGCCCTGAAAATGATGTTTGTAAGTTTCGTTTTGGAGTCTTGGGGAAATACCTTGATTTCGATCTCGTGACGATATGTTGTGACAAATTCGGGATATTCTTGCCCCAGAAGATCCTTGGCTGCCTGAATTTCAATAATTTCTTACAAAATGATTACTTTGTCATGTAAGTCCATCAGTTTTGAGTATCACTCTTACTTGTGATATTTGAATTTTCTCCGGTTCTCCGGTGCTTTCCATCCGAGAAGCCATATTCACCTAAAAATTATACCCTATATTAGTGACAGTGTAAATGTCATTATCAAAAATTTCCGAAACCATACCGTATCCCCAAATAGACAATATCTTGGTGCATTAAGACCAACAACAGCCGCCGCGACAGGCCCTGTGTGAAAGCCGAGTCTGCAGCGAAGACGCTGAGTCTTACGGTGGGGAATCTCGAATTCTTCTAGGTACTAAAGAAAAAAAAATTGTTTTTCATCTTTTAAATCCTCGAACTTTCATGATTTCCAGTGAGACATCGGCAATGTGCGCAATATGGCGTTTCCCGTTTTCTTCGGGAATTCCCGAAACCACCATGTAGGCGTCACCGATTGTTTCCACCTGAAATATTCGTTGAGTTCTTTAGATTTTCTTTTTCCACCTTGTAGGCTTCATGCTTGTTGATGACGGCATCAAAGCCTGAATAAACCGAATTCAACATGTTGACCACTTCAAGCGGCGTTGATGAAGAGCAGAGCTTTGTAAAACCGACCTGTGAAAGGTGGAAAATCGATAAGTGAACGAGAAAAAATATATTGTTACCACATCAGAGAAAAGAACAGTCGCTGTTGGGTACATTTTTGGTGGAACGGCTCGACCGGCTTTCAATTCACTGGCCACGTATCTGAAAGAAATGAAAGAAAAATGATTTAACCTGATTTATCTATAGTACTATAGATGTAGAGATTGTAGCTATGAGATAGGCTTTTTTGGATTTGCCTTTTATTTCCCTATTATTTCCCCTATTCACAGATTCCCCACTTTGGCAAAAGTTGTGAGAGAAGACGATCGGCTTTTTGATTCGCTTCTTCTAACATTCCAGTTCTCTCGGTGACCAATTTCTCCAAATTATTCGCGTACTCTTCCATCATTCTCATCATTGAGTCAACGAGAGAGCCTTTTCTGGAATAAATTTTTACATTTAAATCATTTTATCATCATTTTATCATCATTTTATCGATCAACGATCTCACGTTTTTAAGTAGGATTCAGTGGAGAGACGGACACGACGAATTGTTGGACGAACCTCGGGTGTGTCGCTCCAACAATCCTAAAGAAAATTGTACTTGAGAAGAAAGTACAATTACAATTACACAAGTACAATTACATTGTTTTCAGTGAAGAGATTCAAATTTCCAAACCTGCAGCAAAGCCAGTAAATCCGGATGAATCTGTGCTCCTTGATGAACGGACGGGCGAACTATTTTGTCTCCTGCTGAGGCTTTTATGGCCAACTCTGGAATTTCTCATGTTTTTTGGTTGTGCTTTTTGTAAAAAAACCATCCAAATTGAGTTTCTCGCTATAGGGGAAATTTCTGAAAAGAATCTCGTAAATGACGATTCCGAAAGAGTAGATGTCAGCGGCACGGCGGCGCTCAAACGTTTGCTCGAGCCATTTCTAGAAAGAATAAGCGCATCTTTTTTCTAGAGTCATCGAATTCTAATCTGCAAAAACTGCTCTCACTTGATCCATTCGACGTTTTTTATTCTTGTCATTATTCATCCGCATATCAGGCGCCACATAGAGAATGCCTAAAGTTGGAAACAATAAAACTGGGCACAAAAATCAGTAGCCATTTGCAAAAACTTATCTCAACTTAATGATAGCTATTAGGTTGGTGAATTGAAAACTGCGGGACTTTGAACTTAAAATTTATTCAACATAAAACCATTTCCATTCAACAATTCATTCCAAATAATTCCCATTATTATTGACGACTTCTGCCCATTTTAAAGGCAATTTGCGGATTCCTCTCTAGTAGAGTTTTGGTTTTGAATCGAAAAACTTTCAAAGCCAATTTTTGACTGCTTCTTCCGAATCGAAGTGTTCTCCCGCAAGCTCATTACTCATGATCCGGAATAAATAGTAATCAGAAGGGGCGAGGTCCGGACTGTATGGGGAATGCGCCAAAAGTTCCCAAACAAGGCTATTTATAATAATTCCCATTATTATTGACGACTTCTGCCCATTTTACAGGCAATTTGCGGATTCCTCTTTCGTAGTAGGATTTTGGTTTGTGTGTGAGACAAGTGTGAGACTCAAAAATGGAGGAGATGTCCCAGTTTGAGCACTTTCTTCAAAAGAAACCCATTTTGGTGTCAATAGAAAAGTTGTAGAGAATCAAAAATCAAGCTTATATCCAAATTTTCAGAACGATTCAAAAACTGGTTTTCAAGAACTGCCAAATTTACGAATCTTCACAAAACTTGCATTTTAAGCGAAACTACTAAGTGTATCTTTTTGGAAATTTCGCTATAAGCCTAATTTTTGATTCTCTACAACGTTTCTATTGACACCAAAATGGGTTTCTTTTGAAGAAAGTGCTCAAACTGTCACATATGACAATAGCCGGCAGCTTTCAATTCACCAACCCAATATTTTTTTTTGTCTACCTAAGCAAGCGTTTAATGCAGCAAGCGTTTAATGCTTTTCCCTCCCAATCTTACGAACCCATTTTCTGCCAAGCTCCACTCTTCTCCTCTCCATCTTTCAGCGATTCGAGTTGAATTGATCCGTGCTTTTCCCAGCGGCTGATCGCATCGGAAATACCTGAATATCTTTAAGTATCATCCATTGACCATCTAAACTACCGTAGTCGGTCAATTTGACAAGCCAATTTCTGTCAATGAGTGTCGACCACGAAGTCAACGATCCGTGAAAACCAATGTTTGACGTGTGCAAGTATTCAAGACCCTAAATTAGAGTAAAAGCCTAAATTGTAAGCTTTGTAGTGTAATGTAGTGTTTATTATAAGCACTTTGTGACTTTAAAAATTATAGCTTACAATAAACGGTAATTGTAGCGCTCACCAGGCAAATATCCCTGACGAAAGCGCCGTGGAATTTCCCGTCAAGAGTGAAAGTTTCGTTATAGATGAGATCCTGAAAATTTGAAAAGCTTTCAAGAGTACTGTTCACTCATTTATAATCAATTTGTATCCAGTAAATAGAATAATTCTACCTGCAACGTTCCTCGACTGCAGAATTTCCACATCAACAACAACTCATTTTTCTCGTTGAAAGACATCCCGAGGAATGGGTTCAAATTGTCGTGCACGGCTTGTTTCATCTGAAAAAATGTTGATTCATTGATTGATTCATTGATTGATTCAGACTTATAAAGAGAGTGTCGAATAATGTGTTTTCTAAAAAGCACCGACGGTAGTTGGTTATTGAACAGTAGTGGTAGTATTACAGTAGTAGGGGAAGTTTTTTAAGGAAGCAAAAAGGTTTGGGAAGAGTTTGACTCGAACTTGGGGAGACTTGGGGGTAATAGGCTCGTCAGTCCAGAAGCTTATCCACTAGATCACGGAAACATTTGGGAAGGAAGCGTGGGACAGCTTCTTAACGTGTCTGAGATTTAGATATCTGTAAAAACTAAAAACGGGTTCAAGATCCCATGGCCGACTCTATAAAATTTGTTTTGAAGTCAAAAGGTCAGCTTGATCAGATGCCTTTTAGAAAACAGTTTAGCGGAACTCTTACTCTCATCAACAAAACGAGATCCTGTCTCGCGAATTTGATCGGTCGATTCTGCTCATAGAGATGATAAGTGGCATGGGTGTTGACTAAAATAAGAAATAAGACTAAAATAAGACTAGCACTGATACTTGTTTGCTATTCAACTCATTTACCTCCAATAATCGCATGATGTTTGACCATACTGTTGCCCATATTCGAGAGTTTCGTTCGCTGCGAGCTCAACGATAGCTGAAAAGCTTTTAAGTCCATTAAATGCCAATAATTATCTTTCAAAAACAATGTTTTTGATTTTCAACTCACCATTGATTTCACTTCATCCTCGTTCACGATTCGCATATCGTCACGGAAAATTCGCCACGGCATGTTGTTCAATGAGCGACTTTCACTGAAAATCAAATGCTAATTTGTTTGATTTTCTGTTTGACTCAAAATGTTTTTTAGCAGCTTTATGATCCAAATTACCAATGTCTTTTGAGGAAAATTGCGGAGATGATAGCTGTGATGATGGCCAAGACAACGGCAGCGCCGATGATGATCAGAGTATGGTCACATCTGGGAAAATTCTTCATTTAGAGCTATTAGGTTGGTGCATAAGGAAATATATAATATATATATAGATACTTTATTCAGGACCTGAGATAAAGTGCGCTAGATTTAAGATTAAAACACATGAATTCATACACATAACACGAAAAGGGCCGATAAAAAGAAACACGATATAATATATGTAAAATGTGGGTAGCACAGATAACGTCAAGGATCCACTAGAGCTTCAAGATCAAGATCATCTACAGATAATTTAAAGGTTTCGAGACTATTGGACTCTCTCAAAACTCTGGGGAGTCGATTCCAAATTCTGACAGTTCTTATTGGAAAAGAGTTATAAACAAACTTATTGGAGGTGACTGGAATTTCTAAAACAAGTTCCAGTAATTGTACGTAGAGATTCTAATTATTAAGATTTCTTCTAAGATTATTGAGATTCTAATGATTAAAGTGGCTAAATCAAAGTTCAGTGGTTGACAACGATACAACAACGTTCACTTTTTCAAAGCTCAATGTCACAACGACTCATTAGTGTTTTTTTAGACACCCCTAATATTATCGCTTTTTAATATAAGAGAAATGTATAAAGTTGCATTTCGGATGATCAATCACTCAAAAAAAGGTACCAAAAATAACCAGCTAAAGCCAATTGCAACTTAAGATTTCTTCAGTCTTTTAATAAATGTTTTATTATTAAAACTAATATACTACCGTAAATACTGTAATAGTACCCCCTCGCACAGTCGCGTAGTCGCAAAAGTTTTTTAGTATTTCATTTTTTTCAAAGCGCTCGTGCTTTCAAAAAATGCGTCTTTGGTATGAAAAAATAGCTGAAATTCACGGCTATTTTTTGATACCTAAGCGCGCATTGTAGCATAAACCAGTGTCGAGAAAAACTCGTTCAAAGCTAGACTACGCGATGCTCCGCACCGTCATTATGGGGGTGGGGTACCACCCGTACTTTCAAAAAATAGATCTTTGGTATCAAAAAGATCAATAAGCCGCGCGTCGCCAAGACTCGAACCAGCACCCTTCACTTACCGGGCAAAACGGTAAAGCGTCAAAAAAAAGTGTAAAAGTCGGAACTAGGACAGATCAAAAACCTGTGCGCCGCCAGGACTCGAACCAGTGACGCTTCGCTTATCAGGCATCGGTGCTAACCATTACAACACAACCCAGTTAATCTCGCCGTAAATGCGTAAATAGTACCCCATCCCCCTCGTACAGTCGCGTAGTCGCAAAAGTCTTTTAGTATTTCATTTTTTTCAAAGCGCCCGTACTTTCAAAAAATAGCGTCTTTGGTATCAAAAAATAGCTTAAGGTTTAAGGTCTTAGACGAAGCCAATGCTGTTCGTTTCGAGTTAGTACTGATTCGGATTCCTCGGCCCTAATTTTCCATCAAATTTTCTGTTGAATTCAACTCAATTCATCATTTCTTTTTGACAGAAGAGTTAATCTCAAAGCCACTCCTTCCTCACCTTTCCCCCCGAAAACCACAAACAGGCTCATCAACTGGCATTTGTCCATTCGGCGATTTCCAGAAACCCGATTGCACATCGGTGACTATCTGAAAGTTTTCAAATCAAAAACACAGTTTCTCTTTGTCGAATTTTTCTAAATAGGTTCGGTCTAGAGGATGTTCAATATTTATGTGGACTAATAAATTACTAGATTGTATTACTTGTCAGTTCCGAGCCAAACTGATATTTTAGTTACTATTGTTATTATTGAATGATTTGTCTATTCTTATGCAAATGTGTCCTCCCCTGTGCTTATCCCTTTTATTGCCGAGAAGGGGCGGTCCTTGGGATTGCCTAGGAGGACAAGTGAGGCTCTCACTTAGAGTCCCCCCTTCCCCTTACACTTATTTGTAATCTATTCGTCTTATTATACTACTGTAAATAAAGATACATATCTTCCGGGTCTGTGCAACTGCAGTACAGGTTGGTCATTTCACAGGGACTCCCCTCTAATACGTTGGAGGAGTTGAGTTGGGTTGTCGGGGTGTTAGAGATGGCGGGATATCAAAAGGGATCCACTCTCATTAACTTAACCCAAATTCTAGTCCACATCCGTTTATACCTAGGAGCGAATATACTACTAGATACTACTAATTTTAAAGCTCATTTTGTACAAATCTAATGTTAAAAAAGAAAAAAACATATCAAACACATAAACTTTAAACAAGTTTAAGCCATTTTTTTTCAATATTATTGCCAGATCCGAATTGAATCCATTTAGGTGTAGAAATGCTCCCCTGTAGAAAAGTAGAAAAGCTTTCAGCTTCAAATTACTAGATTTAAAGCTCATTTCGTAAAAATCTAATGTTAAAAAAGAAAAAAAACATATCAAACATCTAATCTACCTTGTAGATGAACTACGCGAGCCTCTCCAAAAATCTGCAAAAGCGTCTCCAAAAATTTGTAAACCCATCAAATCACTCTAGCCAAGTGATTTTTATTCTTTTTATAATAAAATCAGCGATATTAAAATAAAAAAAACAGGTGGTTGCCGTAAAAAAATTTTTTTATGGTCACCCGGCCGCGATTAATACCCCCTGCCCTTTAACAAGTTTAAGCCATGTTTTTTTTTTCAAAATTATTGCCAGATCCGAATTGAATCCATTTAGGTGTAGAAATGATCCCCAGACGCTTTCAGCTTCAAAATACTATATAGTAAATCGAATTTCGATCTGGGTTTTAGCTGAAAAATGGAGCTTCTTTTGTAAAGTGTACGGGAAGTTTTTTTTGATCACCCTGATCCCCTTCAGCTGTAATTTAGTGATCGAGTTCCAATGAATCGGTTTTTCGCATAACAAATTGAGTAAGTGAGCATTTCATGTTTGTCCCAACTCTGTAACTCTAAATTTGGTTCCCTATCTCTATAAATTTCGTTCCCGATCTCTCTAAATTTCGTTCCTGATCTCTCTAAATTTGGTTCCTTATCCTTCTTAACGATTTTTTTCATATGCCGATTTAGCAAGCGTTAAACAACCTTCAAACTCAAAAGTGCCCATAAATATTGAAGAGCCTGTAGTGATTGGACCTGGTACAGACAATCAGACAAAAGGTTGGCCCAATGTTTTCTTTGAACTCGTTTACGATTGGAGTTTGAGAATCGTCAGAAGTACGAAAACGGACGATATCAACACAGCCTGGATTGTTTGTCGATGAGGCACATTTCGAAGTGGAGAGAACTGCAGGAGTGATGTTGCAAATGGACATCACACGATTGCGCTCTTCAGAGACGTAGAAAGCACTGGAAATGATTTGTGGTAGATTTATCGTATCGTTCCGATTTTGTATTGATTATTGATCATCATTAGGTATTGATCATCGAGGCCTCGTAGCCTATCAAGATCTTGGTAGATCTGCTAGTGAGAAAAGAAATGGCTTTACCTGTAGAAAGGCAGACGTTCAGCTTGATCATCCAAGAGTACGGTGCCCGATCCAGTGCCTATTTGACTCACCATTCCTAAACACAAAAGTCATTTGATTTCCAGACAATTAAAGGTGGAATTAAGCTAGCCACTAGAAATTAATAGAGAAAAATGTACAGGTAGAGTATTGTAGTTTGAAATTTCAACCGAATTACGATAGTTTTTGATCAACCGCATCTTTTACGAGGAAACATCTTTTAGAAAATATTTTGACCATGGCCATGAACACAATACCAGCCAATTCGATTATAAATGAAAACGGTAAAGCGTAAAAAATGGTGTAAAAGTCGGAACTAGGACAGATCAAAAACTTGTGCGCCGCCAGGACTCGAACCAGTGACGCTTCGCTTATCAGGTATCTGTGCTAACCATTACACCACAACACAGTTAATCCCGCCTGACTCCAGAGGGAGTTAAGTTCCCTCCTCTCTGGACCAGACGGTTGCACATGTCTCGATTTATAGGCCTGGGATGCGCTCGAAACTAGGTATGAAGACCTACCGTAAATACTGTTAATAGTACCCCATCCCCCTCGTACAGTCGCGTAGTCGCAAAAGTTTTTTATTATTTCATTGTTTTTCAAAGCGCCCGTACTTTCAAAAAATAGCGTCTTTGGTATCAAAAAATAGCCCTGAATTTCAGCTATTTTTTGATACCTAAGCGCGCATTGTAGCATAAACCAGTGTCGAGAAAAACCCGTTCAAAGCTAGACTACGCGATGCTCCGGTCATCATTATAAAAGGATGACGAGAAAAATGCTGAAAAATGCATGAAAAATGCATAAGAAAATGCTGCAAATAAAAATTAGATTCCAGCAACTCGTCCAGCAACTTTTTTTTGATGAAAACATTAGCTCAATTGCTAACAGATCGAGAAACACTCGTTCAAAGCAACGCAACACTCCGCACCGTCATGATGGGGGTGGGGTACTATTACAGTGTTTACGGTAAGTAAGTAAAAGAAAAAGATGAGTTAACTCCCACTGGAGTGACGGAGACTAAGGTCGTTTTGGTGTAATGGTTAGTACATTTGCCTGGTAAGCGAAAGGTCGCGGGTTCGATTCCCGGCGGCGCACAAGTTTTGATCAGCCCTAGTTCGAACTGTAAAATTACCCGAAAAAGTCATTCGCCTCATCGTGTCGAACATTTTCTTTCCATTTGTGATGTCCCCAATTTTCCCAGTCGAGTTCAAAAGGCGGCGTCCTAAAAGGAAAATGTTCTTCAATAAAATCTCGCACTTTTTACCAGCTAATCCAAAGATTTTCAACGAATCGTACAAAGAAATGTATCCATAGATGTTTTTCTGAAAATATATCCTGTTTTAAAAGATTTTATGATGCTTGGCACCAAATCGATATCATCTCCGGTCAAGCCGATCGCATTGAGTCGCTCGAGGAAAGGAGTGATCAAACGATCGTCGAATCCATTCACATCGTCCAGCTAGAACAACGTTTCTCATTTAAAATTCAAAAATGATAAATGATACCGTATTTCTTCGAATAGAAGACCGGGTAAAGAGTATGATCGCGTACTCCTGCGTAGCAGCCCTTTTTAAAATTTCTTTTCTGCATAAAAGCTTTCAATC